TCGGGTATGGTGCGAGCGAAGGCGCAAGCCACAAAAGACAAAACTACCACGAATTTCAACATTGCTCCTTTACAGATAGTTGCAAACAACTGCTGTTGACCGAAATGGTTAGCTTATATATACCTAGCACAATATTTACTCGGAGTATAAGCCATATAATCAGTAAGAGTACGTCCATTTTTACCAAAAAATGTCGTTTTCCAAGAGTGTTCATTCGTGTGCAGATGATTTAAAAGATATTGACTGGCACTTACGTGTAGAATTTGTATCGTTAGATAGCAGTTAGATAAGTTAGTTGGCATGATAGGCAACGAGGGTTTTTATTATTTTTATTTCAGCAAATGGAGTCTGATTTGTGATTTTTCATGAAGTCTTTGTTTACATTTCTTTATCGCGGAACCACTCGTGGCGACTTTTTCTCTGCCCGCACACCGACGRGAKAGATTTGTAGGCGCAATGAGCTTTTCACCGATGGTTCAAAGCTAGGTGGGAAGGTTGAAGGTCAAGTTTTCTTTAGGGAGCTCTCTGTCAATATTTGCGGTAGGCTACCGGAYGTACWGCTACGAAGTGCAGTTTTTAGGGAGATGAGCATTCACTTCGACAGTAGAGCGACAATACTTGCGCTGAGGTCGCTAACTGTGCGTTCAGAGCTTGTTAAGGAATGTCTGTCCTCACTAGAAATAGCAGCATGCTCCTTCGTTATCAGACTCGTTCGGGTGCCAGGACACAGCTGAATCGCTGGCAACTGCAAAGCCGATGAGCTAGCCAGATGGGGTCTGCGTTCAAGCACTGGACGAACGGCCCTTGCGTGCACTTGGCAGGCTTTGGTCGACGACCACTGCTACGAGGTCCCTTTGGCCTGATAATTTTTCGTACCTTCCTTCCATATTTATGAAAAATCCTTAAATGTTTTTGTCTCTTGTCGCTAAAATACTTATTTAAACACAATTTAGGGCATCCTTAGCAATTCATTCACATAAATACAGAAAACGTCCAATTATTTTAAATTTCCGTAACTCATCAACGAATGGTTTTTGACAAAAAAAGTGTGGATAAAGCTATATTGGGGAGTCTAAGTGAAGCTAAACAAATTTTGAAACTAGATATATCTTTAAATACCATACGGGATAAACTTCAGAGACCTGGCATCTAACGAAGCATACTGTAATCTAATTCCGACATTTAAAAACAGACAATAAAAAAGATTACATAAGCAGGGAAACACCAACCATGACTGGAGCAAAATGAGTCAACTTTTGTATTGTCCAACCCCTTGCAATTTGTTTCCTAAGGCTTGCTAAGCAACTCCAAAAAGTGCCTGTTGATGGATGCTCTCTGTTTATGGATTTGGGGTTGTGAGGTGCTGCACAGAAAACCTGAACACCCTTACAATGATAAAATTATATGAAAAGCTTTACTTTAAAAATAATCAAGATCAGTATCAAATCACCTAGGAGGATACTTTGTACTCAATCTAAATAAGAAAACCATATTGTTATTTCAGATTGGTCATTACGGTCACTAGACGCCAATAATATAGAGAATGTTCAAACATACCCGTAGAATATACCGAACATTTAGCAGCTTAAAGAAAACAATTTTTTTTTATATTATAAAATTTTTCCTAATAAACCCAATCTACTCTTTGGAACACGAAAACGTTATTTTTTGAATACACTATAGATTTCAAAAATTTGAGTACAACATTATTTTTCAGGACGTTGTTGTCGTTTAACAATCTAGTAAGAGGAAGACGACTTGTCTATGCCAACAAACCGATTCAGCAGATCAAAATAAAAACAAATTTATATTTTCAAATCACAAGATTTATTATTTTTCTTTTCATAATATCGAGTACCTT